ATAAAACAAAATTATCCCTGTTGTATTATATCTTAATATATTTATGATTGAGATTATTATTAATAAGCTAAAAATATATTTTTAATTATTATCGACAGTTAATTATTTAATTCGATTTCAACTGTCAACTTATTTTAACAACTATATTTGTAGGCTATATGTATATCACTGGAGCCTATTTAAGTTTATAAATCTTAATTTATTAAAAAAAATGTCTATGAATATCATCCAGCAAAATAATTATGAATCTTAAAATTATATTATGTGCATTGTACATAATATCAAGATAATGATATCCATAATTGTTAATGATGTATAAGCAATTCATGGTTTTAACTTTAAATTTAGTTCCATTAAATCTTTCAATGCTTACGAAAAGACATTTTTCTTTAAATGTCCTTAATTGGTTTTTATTTGTTATTTATTATTGGATGTAGTTGTGTACCTAAATATACTAAAATTGTTCTATATTCATATTTTCCATGCACACATAATTAATAATTGCATGTAAATGGGTTTTAACTCGTAAATAAATAAGTACATACATATTACTATAATATTACATTATGTGAAATACCGGAAAACTGCAATAAAATGATGTATTCAAGCATTCATTATGAATTACTTACACTTTTTACCTGCAAAAATGAATATTTATAATTTATATTATGCATTACAGACGTTTTGCTTATATTAACGATGAGTACATTATAATAAATAAAGTATACAATATTTTCAATTACAAGATAAAGTACTGAAGGGAAATTATTATGGAATGTACATTATACTATTATCACGAATAAATAATATACTTTCAAAATGTCGATGAAAGTCAAGTGTAAAAATTAAGTGTATCATATTATATATCAGTACCCGTAATACTAATACATGTAATAGAGTGGGGCGGTTATAACATAATATTTTATAGTAAAAACGACAAATAAAAAACACAAAGTGAGTTCTGGAAGATAGGTGGGCCACCACGGGATGGGCGTAAATTCTCGAGCAAAGATAAATCGTTGCAAGTGAAAATCGATTGCGAGCGTGGAGCTCAGATTAGCCTTAAACGGAGTAAACATTTTTCAACGGTTACCGTAAGCTAATATAATATGAAATATAACGTTATATTATGGTAATATTTGTTGTTATTTTTTTTTTTTTTTTTAAATTAAGGCGGTAATTTATTTATTATGGTTTGTAGATTTTTTATGAAGTCTAACTCGGTTTTTTATTTGAACTCTACAATTCATCATCGTTTTATTATTTGTTTGTAATTTTTGAATTGTATTTCCCAAAACACGAAAATCATTGCAATGAATAAGAAAAATTGTTAAGTATATTATTGTATTATATTATTATTATAAATGTATAACATGTATATTATAGGTGTATAATATGTGACTAACAATAAAAAAAGACATAACTTTCAAAAAATATATCTATAATAATAATTATTCATTTAATGTTTAATATATTTTACAATGGTGTTCTCCTCATTTTTATTTATGACAAAAACCTTAAACAGTACTATTATAATTACAATCTACTACAATGACTACAATCATCTTTAATTACCATTTGAAACTTCACAACAATAAAATAATACAATTATAATAGTCAGTGTAATATTGTGATGTAATTTAGTAAAATATACTGTATATGCATACAGCTTTATATTATATATCTATAGAGTCTGTTTAATATAATATCTTCATATTATCGTTCTCTATTATCTCATTATGATTCACTATTTGATGTTAAAATTGATTGATAACAATCGTTTTGTGGGGAATACCGAGGAAATATAGTAAGTAATATTAGCAAAAGGCACGACTATGATGTACAATATTTATTTGAAAATTCTAAATGTATTTTGACATTATTTATAGATGCCATGGTTCTCTAGTCAAATTATACTAAATGGGCGAGTCCGTAATTTCTTCGTATGATAATATACATTATATTTGGCGTGGGTATTTTTATACTTGAACTGATTCGAAATAAATATTATTCACTGGATTTCCAATGATTTCAATGACTTCAAAGACAAAAATATATTATAACGGAAACGATAAAAACATTCAATAATTGAAAAATGCAACAAAACAAGCAGACAATGCAAACAGTATTTTTTACGTATTGTATTGTTTAAATGTTCACACGTCACTACGTACGCTCGTTAACATTTTTAGTTTCAATGAGTTAGGTAAAAACTACTAAAAAGATACCAATTCTCACAAATCAGATGAATAAATATAAAATAGAAGGAGAATTTACTATGCTAATTATTAGTATCAATAGTATAAATGTATAATATATATTTTAACATCTGACATGAGTACCAGACTGTAGATGAATACCCAATGATCAAAATGAATTAATTCTGGAATCAAAGTGTAAACTTTTTTTTTCGAATTTGAGAGTTAAAGTTTTAGTTGTTTTACGTTTTCGAAGTTATATTTGTTATCTTGGTAACCACACCATAAACTCGGATGTTTCGTTTAATGTTGTAAATATTAACATAATATAATAATAGAGTGTATTAAGTCTTTCAAATTTCATTTTCCATTAGTATGTGTTCCCATGTCTTAAATATAATAATATTATTTAGAGAATATTAAGTTTGTTTTCATGGTATAATGTAAACTGTCAAACTATCCTAATAAAAAAGCAAAATTTGCTTTAATATTATATACTTTTTACAATAGCTGACATTGATTTTTATTTCTAATAATAATTTTAATGTTCAAACAATACCTATAAATTGTTATAATATTTTAGCATAATATTGTGAAAGTTATTTTAATCACCGTAATGGATTTAAAATTCAATAAAATAAAATTTATTCGTGTTGTTCGAATAACGTTATTATCTTAATTATTTGACTGAACAACGACTACCAAATCGAAACCATTGGCAAACGCTGTCAAATACTACATATAAATAATACATGCATGGATTAACAATCAACAATATTGGAGTGTTTAATATTACATTTATATTTAATTTATGAATGGGGCTATCGTTTTTAAATGTTGAACTCGCTTGAAGTGAATATTTTATTGTTAGTTGTAATCGGTGGCTTGGATTATGATAATACGAACATTTATTAAATATTGACGCGTTTATAAAATATATAATATAAATGAGTAGGTTTACGTTATTTTCTCGGCAAAGAATTTGCATATATAAGTAGTTAAAATTATTATAATACGACTTTCGATTGAATGTTAATAATATATATATTATAATTTTGTAGAAAAAGATTAGTCTAGTCCGTTAAGATGAATAAAATAATAAAATTACAAGTAAATAGTAATGTTCAAACCATGATATACCGCGATATAGGTACCAGGTTGTTCGCTTATAGTTTCAAACATAATATGTAGTCCAATATTCGTAAAACGCAAACACCTCGGACGAAGGGGTTTATTATTAAAGATTGATCTTATATCGCGCTGCTGTAATGTGTTCTATATATTATTATTTGTTACGGCTCGGCCACAAAACGCTTCTGCAATCATTGTGTCAGTGGAATGTGCTGCAAATCGACCAGGATCGGACCCTATTCTTGAACGCATTAGCACCGTGGTAGCATTATTATGCGAATGTGACTATGTGAGTGGCGTCCGTTTGCTAATACCTAGGACCGTTCACGTGCTTTCAAGAACAGTAGTGCACCTGCAACGAAACAGGCATTACCGTTTCCGTCGTCGGATCAAATACCTATATAATCCATTAAATTCCTAGCAGTATCCTGCAGCCCGTGCTATTAGACATAATGCAATGATATGGCGCTCGTTTAATAATAAATCGGTTTTCGTGAAACAAAAACAACGGCGGCAAACGTTTAGATAGGTACCTAAGTTTTCGGGTTTAAAAGTACCTAACAATATAATACTATTAATTTGGATACTTATCTTTACGACTGTACCCACATATAATTTCGTATATTATGATTACCATCAATACTCATAATTATTGGTGCGTGTTTCACGCATTCGTCTATGTATATTAAAGTAGGATTGAAAAACCAAAACACAAAATTCGATTAACATAGTATACAACTTGGACTATTATAAATATTTTTTTTTACTTCGAGAAATCAACTTTTATTGCTGCTAAATATCCATGGAGAGGGTTCCGATGACAATAATATAATTATGTCTACTGCAGTTAGGGTTTGTGGGCTTAAACTATATATGGAAAACGTTCGTTACTTTAAGCTGAATAAATATCCGTTCCACCCCAAACAAGTTTAAATGAAAATCGTAATTAAAAAGATTTGTGAACGTTTTATTGAAATTTAAAGTAAATCCGATAGGTACCTATGCATGAAGCTGCGGGTACATGGCGTATAAGATATTATAATACATAATATTACGCACGCTTATACGGTTCGTATAATGTATTAACTATCTGGTTTAAAGCTATTTATAGTATATATTAGGAAATTAATCTCTATGAATATTCTAACGTAATTTCAAAATAGCAGAAAGCATTAGCAGCGTTATGTTAATACATCCACAGCGCGAAGAGTGCACATTTAATCTCAAAACTCTCAAACGGTATACCCGCTGAGTAAAAATAAATAACAATAAACTTCTATGTAAAACGAAACTCTGTAATTAATTCGACCTGGAAAACAATTTATTAGAAACAACGCGATCGGAGTGGAAAGAAAGATAAAACGAAATTGCACGCGGTATCTGGTGACGGCAACACGTGTAAAAAACTTATAAAAAAACATAGATTGCCCGTCACCTCATATATTATATTTTACAGTTTATGAGTTTTTTCTACAGCAGGCTCCATGGAGATTAATAATAATATTATGTTAATGTATTTCGTAGACATTTAAATATGTTAGGTGTATTCGTTTTTAAAATCTAAATTGGATTTTTTTCTGTCTTCAAACAAAATTTTTTAACTGTTTCTCTTGATGAGATAAATCATAATTTTTATAAAAAACAAAATTTAACATAATTTCAAATATTATTATGGAAAGAAAAACAGATTTTGCGAGTTTATTGAAGTCCACACAAAATTTAAAACATTCCATTGACGAGTTGGTTTGTAAAAATCACAAAGATATAGGTATAAGTTCACAATTATTTATATTATTATCACAAATAAATTTCAATATTGTTTTTTTTTTTTACTTTTTTATAACATGGTGATTGCTAGATATTCAAGACATAGAATGTATGCGGAAATTGATCGAACACATGATTAAAGAATATTCATCGAATGCCAAATGCAATAACGACCAAAGATTGATATCAAATTGCAGTAACTTTTGTGAAATAAACGAAAAAATCCAAAGTAAAGTAAGACACAAACTTAATTGATTATTATTTCGTATAGAGTTTCCTAATTCCTTCATATAATATTGATAATAATTATTAGAATCAATATATACCTAATATAGTATAATATAATAATACAAAACAATAATATAATAAGATATTCAAAATAGTATACAGGTTATAATAATAATTCATTTATTCAAAATCTGGATTTTGAAATTTTTAAGTATACTAATAGATCATATACGTATTTTCATAATCAATGGTTACCACGGTACTACGTATTATACAGGATGATTAACCAAGCATGCTCAACCCCATTTTTCCTTTGATAATGAATTTATTCAAATTCTGCTTTTTAGAACTTTTTAAATATGCTTTAAGACTGTAAATATATTATATTGGCGAGTATAATAGAATATTTAATTAATATCAACCATACACTTTATACTAAAAGACGGAGCAAGGGTGTAGTTTGCGTGGTCTTGCCAGGTTGCGCTGATCAACAGGACCCGGTGCACTACGCACATGCGCAGTAGATGATACAATAAATTGTGTATAACTTATTATAATATGTATTATAATTATCTCACGGTATTACAAATTGTCAAGGACCGCACTACTCGACCCCGCCGTCCTTATATGCTCCTTCTACTAGTATAAGGTCTATATTATATAATATCAACATGATATTATTTATTAATACCGTAAATAACTGGGTGAAAAAAAATAGATGAAAGAAATTATTGACGTCTCTTCGAGTTTTTGCGCTGAAACGACTACAATGAAATGTAATGCAAAGAAAAAAATGGAAGATAATGAAGAATGTCAAAATGTAACAAATGAAAACAATGCGAAGTGAATATTTTTTTTTGCTAACGTTCATTTTAACTTTTAAGATAACTTAATAGATTCAAATTTAAAACGGTTTTTATTTTCGATGGAAAAAAAAAACGAAAAATATAAATAACAATGATTATACATTATTATATTTTATAGCAAACGACAAAATGATTTACACGAAAAATGTAAATCACAATTGAAATTTTACGAAGAATACGTCAACGAATTAGAGTGCCGCTTAAAGGGATTTATCGAGTATATGATAGAAGGACAGCGATCGGATCAGAAACACATAAAGGTACGATAGAAGATTTTTGGAACGCATAATACAATATAGCATATTATTTTTTTCTCTCATAAAACGTATAAATAGCTAATATCTCGTTTTCTACTTGGCTTGTGATAATGCGTGCACAGAAGGAAATTTACCTCAAATCGACGATAGAAAAAATAAAAAGGAAAGAGTGCTATTACAGGGCCATAGTACAAAAGCTGTCGGAAAAATTGGATTACTCGAGGAAAAAATCGGAAGAACGTCAAAAGTGGATCGACGGAGTGGTGTCTAAAGCCGAGTTAGTACCGTAGTTTTCCCGTCATATGATACCTATACTTAAAAATAAATTAGAGTTTATTTTTTTTTGGATTAAAAACATTACATTGTAGATTTAACTATAAACACATTTACTATGTATGGATTACTATAGTGAAGTGCGATAAAAAGTCATTCGTCACAATAATCCGACAATTCTGTAGCTATTTTACAATTTATTCTTTAAATTCTTCAGAGAAAAAAAAGATCTTAAGAATGTTTCATCTCTGAAAAATACGAAGTAAAATTAGATACAATCAAACTATGAACTATAAAATAGATTAAACTATTTAAGTAAAACTAATTTAAAATAATAAATATATTACATATTTTATACTTCGTTGTAAATATGTATATTTGTCAGAATATAATACCTACATACTTAGTGAATACATATTATTAAAATGGATTGAGAAGTGTAGTAACATTAGTATTTTAAATATTTTTTTACATAAAATAAAACTGACTGTACTAATAATTAATTTACAAATCCACAACAACGATTAAAAAACTGAATTAGTCAACTTTCTTTACTCTTCCCTGTCTATTTATTTAACGTATAGTATAATATACGGAATGGTTCATTAAACGTAAGACACTTTTTATTTAAAAAAATATCATCGTTTTAGCAAACATTTTTTATAGATAATTGTAAGTCATTAAAAAACTAAATGTTCTACACATTATAGTTTATGGGTTATAACTTATAACTAATAAGTATTTGAAGTTTAGATGAGTTGAGTGGAGTTATACATGGGTATTGGGTACATATTAAACTACTAAATGTTAGCTCACTACACGACTCTACCAATCTATATTTTAAATACTTATTAAGTCTTTACACTCATAACTAATACAATTCTTGTCCGAAATTTGAAATTTTTTAGTTGAAAATACTCGGAAGAATATTCTGCTTAGAAATATTAAATTAAAAAAGTATGTTGTCTTTTAATAGAGCAATCAACTAAAAAAATAATAACAATTTTATTATTTTCCAAACAATACTATATAAAAGAAATATTTTCATACACATTATTGCTTTCTGAAATAACGAGTAATAAATGGATCATCCAGATATTATAATATTATTGTGGTTTTCAATTTCATAATTGTTTTTTTTTTACGTTTTGCACGCGTTTCCGACTTAAAGGCAACTGAGGTGTGTTGCCGAAGAAAACGCGACGAATTCAGCGGAGCTGGCAAAAACGTTATCTTCGTTCGCGGTCGATCTGTCAGTGTCCAACCGGCTTCAGTACCCGGAAGCGGTGACGGAGGAGGCGTGCGACGACCAAAACAGGGTGGCAAATCCGTCCGGATCTTCCGAGATTGTAGACAATGGTACTTCCGGCTACAGTCAGCGTACAGGGATTGCGGAGGTCTCGGCGGCAGTCGTCGACGAAACTTTTCTACGACCGATCTCGCAAAGCACGCCTATAAGGGACCTCCCTTGTCGCCGCAACTGCCGGTACAGCATTTCGACAGGTGACGACTCCAACGATGACTCTGAAGACGATGACGACGAAGAGGATGATCTTCCGGTGAATGATTTTTTTATAGTATTGTTTATTATATTATGTATTTTACGCCTAGACCCCCTCCCCCTATTCCTACCGCTACGTCTCCTTTTTCTGCATATTATATTGAGCAATAGTTTTCAAAGTCGTTTTGTAGACGAGACAAAATATTTCATGCATCGTGGGAGATGAAAAAATAAAATAAATGCCAATTATAATATCAATATTAAAAAAACATTTTTCAAGTCGGTTTGCTTCAAAACGGCCGCCGCCGTCAAATGCGGACCACCTGAAAACGAAGAACCGAGTCGCCGATGTTCTAAACTTTTCCTGAGGTCGCGGAAGAGCACCGACGTGAACAACAGCGGGACGGAAACGGAACGATGTGTTGGTGGATCGAAGCTCACCAGTGAGTGTAATAAATATTATCGTGTTATACTATCACGTCGATCGATAGCTTGTTATATATTATTATACGTGTGTACCAACTCGACATCAATAATAATTATTCACGATGATTTCGTGGATGTCGTCGTGGGCATATCTATCGAACGGTCATTAATAGAACGAGTTTAACGCCTTTGACTAAAATATATAATATTGTTTTACATCTACCCAGTTAAATGTGAGTAAATATTATAATGTTTAATCGCACATAAAAAAGAAAATTCATTTTTTTTTATCTCACCTAATTGTATTCTATACATTTTTTTTTCATTAATAAACCCGCGGCAACTCAGGCCATTGGGTGATTTTTTAACCGTGTGTTTTAGTTTGGCACAATTTGAGTGGCATCCGTAGGTGTCTGTCATGCCCGAATGAAGGATTCTCAGGGGGGACAGCGAAAAAATAGGTAATACACTTACAATAAATTCTGTTTTCATCTATCTTATCAGTTATCAGTCCTCCTTATCGCCCTCCAAGACTGTTCTATAAAATTCAAATAAATGCCATAAAATGCTATATAAATTAGGTATTATCTAAATGAGCGGGGTGGGGGGAGGGCGTTTCCTATATTTAACCAATAATACTTTTCTTCGGGGAAATTTGAAATTAGCGCCAACATATTACATAATTAAATAATTCTAAATATAATATAGTTTAAGTTTTTGATACTTGATTAAAAATGTATAATATTGTTAAAAGTTCCTGAAAAACAAGAAAAACACTCAACTTGATATTTTTCTTTATAAGGAAAATCTCTGATAATAAAATATATGTCGTTGTTAATAAATACCTAACCACGACAACGAAAACCTTACGAAAAGTTGGTTAGAAACAAAAAACGTGTATCCAGTCCAAAAATATATTTATGTTAACAATTATTGTAATTTGTAAATATATATTGTAAATAATATTATTTTTTTTAAAAGAAATAAAATCCTTTTAAAAAGTATTCTAAATAGTTATTCAGAATACTTTATTCGGAATACTACCCAAGACTGGAAAAATAGTAATTGTTCAAAAATTTAAAAGATAATATTATAAATGTTCTAATGATAAATTAATGAAATAATAGTATATTACCATGATGACTTATTAATATCTTATCAATTTTTTTCATCTTTTTTTAGGGTACTATGAGCTCTATAGACTATAACTATGTACATTTTTAAACTAGAAAAAATAGATAACCGATGAAGTTAAAACCGATTAAAGTTAACCTATATGTTTACCTATGTTATTTATTGTTACGTATTGACCTACAAATCAATAATTTAGGTTAACGTTTTCTAGTATAAAATATTATTATTTACTGATTTCCTAGAAATAAGTAAATAATAATTTCCTGGAAATGTTCATAACATTTCTGATTTTACATACAATTTGTTATTAGTTATAAGTCTTCACGATAGAATATTTAATATGATGTAATACATATTGTATATAGAAAGAACGCTGGAAACGGTAGAAATGTGTCCGGCGAACTGCGTCTGCTGCTGCAACCGACTGAACTCCAAGAAACACCAATCATAAATGCCTGCAAGTTTCAAATAAAACCAAGAGGGTGAATAAAATATCCTTGAAGGAGGACGTGTACGTATATAGCTTGTCAGGTGATTTGCCATTTTTCTATAAGCTCCTACAGCTGTAAAATACAGATTTTCGAGTAAATCTAGTACATCGACCAGCACATCATAATACTATATTATTATTATAATACTGGAAGATGGAACACGCAGGAAGACATAATAATTTTGTTATTATGTGTTTAACACAATAAATACCTTTGTATTAAAATTTCTGATTTGATCCATGCAATTATTATATTATGTCTCTACGATATACCTAATAATAATAATATTTAAGAGGACGTCACACCCGCATGTGTTGTCTCCGTCTTACACACATATGACATAGACAAAACGTGTTTATGCAGTCTCAGTAGAACTCACTCAATATTTTGGTTCTAGAGTAAAAATACCTATAGTAAAATTGAACTCTGACAATATTTCTGAGGGCAAGTCGTTGGGTTTTTTCCATTATACCTAATTAATAACGTTCTTTATATCGTTTAGAAATATCAAAAATTTCTAAATTTTTTAAATACTTTTAACTTTTCAACAATTAAATTTAAAAAAAACCTCTACGGCTTAGAAATATTGTTACAATTCAATTTTATAATAGGTATTTTTACTCTAAGTCCAACTGCGTAAACGCGTTTTGACTATGTCTTACGTGAGCAAAACGAAGACAACACGTGCTGGTGTGACGTCCTCTTAATATGATGTGATACATATAATATATAGAAAGAATGAGGTTGGAAACGATTGAAATGTGTTCACTGAACTACATCTGAGGCTACAATCGACTGAACTCCACGAAACACCGTCCAATAACAAGTGCCCGAAGGTTCAAAATATAAAACCAAGCTGGTGGATAAAAATATAATATCCTTAAAAAGGAGGACTCGTATATATATTTATAAAGCTCATGTCGCGTGATGCACCATTTTACTATAAAACTGCTGCAGCTGTAAAATATAAATTTTCGAGTACATCTACATCGGCACGCACGTCATAATATTATTATTATTATTATTATTATTGTTATGTATTGGAACACTCAGAAAGACATAATAAAATTATTGTATACGATACACATGCAACATAATTTATTGTATATTTTTTATTTATTTATACGTAGGTATACAAGCATGCTTTGGCAACATACTACTGCGAAAGGCGTCGGTCTGATACTTATATCTGTGCACATCGATGACTCGAATATAATATTTACATGGTTGGCATTTATGCGGTTTTATAATCTGGCGTTTGATACTCGTTTTCCCCTCCGTTTCTATGTACCACGTCTTTTTCACGTTATTTATTCCCTTTCCTTTTACAAAGGTCGGTTTTCAAAATGCGCATGCCACTGATACACACGATATAATATAATAATTTCATTTACGTGACAAAAAGATGACAAGATAAAACATATAAAAATTATGTTAACATATTTTTACCGAGTGTTAATATTATTATTATTATTATTATGATAATAAATAATTTTAAACGTGTTTCATTCAATATTTTATACTGCCATCACCTGCCATAACCTGCCGGCAGCCCCCACACTAATGTTCGACGTATATTGGCACGGAAGTTAGTTTGGGTACATAAAATATTTATAATAATATTAAATTAGAAGAAGCAGGTATAAGCAGATATCAAATATAAGTACACCGTGAAATACAATAAACAATAATAATTATCCAACAATATCTTATTCAGGCCCAGATCCATCCAATCCATCCATCCCATCCAATGTATGATACTTATTATATGATTTGCAATTGGTAATACATTTGAAAAAACCTACACAAAGGAAATAAAACTATCCATTAGAGTCTGGCCAAAACACAACGAGTTTAAACTGTAAAAAAAATAAGACGTTTACTATAATATAGGATCAGAATTGGTCACACGAACGGATCTCAAGTAAATACCTGACGAGAATGACGAAGCGTTGGAGTATTATGCCATTCAAGTTAAAATAAAAATAAAAATATCACAGTTAAGCATATTATACCCATCCATTGTCTAAATATTTTACTGAAGCTAGAGATTAAGAGATTCAACTTATTCCAGACAAACTATATTATGATGAAATATTGCAGAACACATGTTTAAGTTTGAGCACAAATCATCATAAACGAAAGCTCTTAGTTTGAATCCAAAATTCAGAGTTAGGGGTGCGAGGAAAATGCATCTCAAAAAAAAGAAAGAAATATTATTGACATTAATTGAATTCAGATTTATTGAATATAACATTTTGCAGACAGTGGATTGATAAAATGTTTTTCTTTATCATAAACCGTTCTCACAAAGGCATATAAGTATATAACCATTATAATGGTAACTGGTAGAAGACTCTTTGATCCCAGTATAGCAAGATGCATATTGGGTATAGAGATGTCTATAATATGTGTAAATATCATCAAATACTGATGTTTCCAGTAACTCGTTTGAGACCTTTTAAAAAAATCGTTTCAATTTATTTTCGCTTATTTTTAAAACAATTATTGGTATTCAAGAGAACGTCTTTCGCTACATTTTTAAATGTTAATTATTTTTGAAGATAAATGTAATTGCATATGAGGTCTATAATTGTCATCGTCAAAATGGTGGTGTTCGGAGATTGATTCACGAAATGTTACGTGACTCGTTTGAAATACAAATACTTCAGGAAGTGTAATTCGGAAAATATTAAAATAAATTATACACCACTCATAAAAGTTTAATTAGTTAGAACTATTGCTACCTTAAAATACTAAAGAATAACAATTATTAATTCTTAAAAGTGGATATCAAATCCTTTCTACACAGGAACCGACAACGCACGTATCTCAATCTATTTACAATTCATTCACAATCACAATACAATATACGAATATAATAATATTATCTATATTTTATACTAAATAGTAAATTATATGTTATAGGTAAGTAGATCATTGGCATAATGTTATGTGGAATTATTGCAATGTGTAAGTATGAGACATCAATACTCCAAATTCATTGGAATATTAAAAAAATTGCGTTATTATAGTGAAACGACACTGAATTGATTATATTTTTTTTATTATGCTGAAATACGGTGGTGAATATTCTCTTAATTTTATTACTGAGGTTATTTATCTTGTACCGTTTGTTTCGCTTGGAAGCTATAACTCTATAAATTATAATTAGTGATGAAAACATTTCAACATATATTATTAACTAACACGCCGCATCTGTGTTAATGTATAACATTATGAATAAAATGAAAGTATTTATTTTAGTAAGCTATCATCGAAAAAAAAACCAATTTATACTTATAATAATACATCCATTTCACCTTATCAACAGAAGTAATTTCAAAAATTCAGTAATCGTTTTCGTAAGATTTGTTTCCTATTAATACATTATATTATAATTACACTGCACACAATAATAGTTGTTAGAAATGAAGAAAAATAATTTTTTTTTTCTTTAGTATAAAATGTGTTTCATGTAATTTTATAAAATATAATCAAATTTCTAAACAACTTATCGAATTTAACACGAGAAGTTTTCTACAGTTATGGCCTTTACGGGTTAGCCTTTTAGAAAGGTATGTTGTTAGATGTTATAAGAAAAAAGTAAAAGGATACCTATCTACATGTTATTTACATGTATCGTATCATGTAAAAGTCAGCAGTTAACAAAAAGTAATTTACCTATACTGCAGTCTGCAGATGAGTGATGACTATTTCGCGTTTCACATTAACATTGTTTGATAACAATAATACATAAAAAAGTTTTGCCTCTCGATATAGAATTTACAGTTATTTTGTAAGAGGCCATGAGCAATGGACAGGGAATTAAATAGGTTGTTGTATTTCAACATGAATGGTATTTACAATTTCCCTACTGCTCATTATGTCTTCTTTTCTTTTTAATTTTTTTGAATACTAAAGAGTAATAGGAACATTTTATTTAAACTTATATACAACAATATGATTGTTGAATTTACATTGTATTCCTTTAATTCATTGCTAAAATCAAAATATATTTAGTTAAATTGTATAATAATATGTTATTTTGGATTTTATATTTTAAAATATCCCTTGAAGAAATAAATAGTAAAAAACTTCTTAAGAAAATTAATTTTTAAAAACATGATTAAAGATTTTGTTATATAGGTAATGCATTAATTGCTAATATCATATTTTATTACAATTAAATTAACATTGCAGGAAATTAATCATTCAAAAATAATATTATTTTAGTTGAGAATCGAACAAACTAGGTGCCATATGCAGCATAATTAACCCACTGGAAATGATGACATGAAATATTTCCTAGAAGGTTAAAAATATAGGTAATAATAATATGTAGGTAAGTATGTCATCGAAATAACTATCGTATTGTTATTTAGTATCAAACTATCTACCTATACTTTATCGTAGAGCCACCGCGACTGCCTCATTGATTTTTAAATAATCTGAAACACGCAGCAGAGCGTATAGTAACCGCTATGGTAACATAAAGTATACGATTTAAAATCTCCGGTATAGCCGGTACACGTAAATTGAAAACGTTTAAGTGAGCAATTCGTGTAATGCTCTTTTGACATTCAGTCGAATATCATTATGAACGTGAGTGAGTATAATATACGTATCTATGTATATAACTATAATATTATACCTATTATATACAGGTATATAATATACAATAAATTATGCTATTACAATAAAAATAAGTCGAAACTCCGTCGATATCTTTATTTTTCTTGGAAAAGGAAAAATCCTCTTGACGATTCGTATACATATATTATAGGTCGGTATATACAATATATATGTATAATGTATATTTATATATTAATATTTAATTCATAATGCACGTAGGTATGTATATAAATTGTACATAGTACAACGTGTATAGAACATATTAAATATTTGATGAGTCGACTTCTTCCCCCTACGCTTTTGGTTGCTGAAATCTGCTTCTATACTGTGCACATCGAGATAAAAGTAAGTATAGGTACATAGCATTTTTGATTTCTGCTATACTCGATATTCGATATTCTTTGCTATATTATTACATGTACCAAAATAATATGTTATAATATGATTTCAAAACAACGCATAGGTTTAAAACGATAGACACTATTCGTTTGTATTAAAATATAAATATCACATTTTACCTAACATAAAAACGAGAGTGCGTGTGTAGCTGCGTCGTTTCACGAGTTTGGTTGAAATATAAAAAAATTATAATTTCGTGGTTACATTATTGTAATGCACACATTCAAATATTATACACTTTAACGTCACCTTAAAATCCTTAATCATATCGTAAAATACATAAATCTCATGCAGTAGATATATGTAGGTATTTTAATTATTATGTTATATTATTATTATGGCATGATGATAATATTATGTTCTTATCTTTCCTTCTTAAAACATTCTGCACCTGAAACGAATAACTGAGACGTTGCACAGTCTGTAGTGATCAAACGAACGGTTTTATAATTTTAAAGATCGAAATTCTTCGAGGCATTTGATTTAACTCAGAATTTCCAATAAAAGGTTGTCTACGACAAATGTCCACTATGATTTTTCAACTGTCAATATTTTTATTTTACAGTATTATTCGTTTGTTTATAGTAATTTTACAATTCAAATATTTACACCACAATCGTAACTTTAAAGGTAACGCGTCTAACTTCACATGTTATAATAATAATATGATATATAAATAAATAAATATACATTTATGTAATATATATTTCGTAAATTATGTTATATAGACTAGATTGGAAATTAAAATTAATAATTAATATGTATGAATTTTGATTAATATTATAAACTATAACAATAAAAAAAAAAAAATAAATAAATAATAATAATATAATATACCTTAAAAACTCAATAATTACAAACGATACATTAATAATAATAATAATAATAATGGGTGTAATGCGTATTATAAAAGTTCTTATTATTTTAACGTTAGGTATACAATATTCCACGAGCGATATAATTAATCGACAACGGACTAGATAATAATATGATTATAAAACGATAGTTTTTTCAACATAATACATAATACATATTTATAGGTAATAATATATACATGATACAATAAATCAATGAAGTTAATAGATATAATAAATTACAATAACAACAGAGTTTTAAAAATATTCATTGATTAATTTTTTTCGTTGTACAAACTTACTGACAAAAATTAAAATCTTAATTAATGAATATTATTTCTAATTAATTAATGAACATTTGACTTAAATTATTCAGTTGAAGTTTCAATAAAATAATTTTTTTTCTTTTTACTCTAACTTTTTTTTTAGTCAATAATAATTTAAATACACGATACAGCAGTAAAACCAAATGATGAAATTAAATGGTTTTTGACTTTGTAAATATATTTTCATCTGTAAATCAATAAATATTGAACAATTTAATATTCTAGTTGATGAGTATAAAAAAAAATGAATGGGGTTTTCTTATTATCGAATTATTCATAAGCATAAAGAAAAAATTAATAATTTTAAAGAAAGTGATATTTAATTATTCGAGTTTGAGACAAGTATGGAGTTGTCTTATTATCAATTGTGGTACATATAACACATAGTTATAATAAAAAAAAACATATTTAAGGATATTATGTTTAATTATATTATTCAAAATTTATGGTATTATATAAAAACATTGTAAATGGTATGAGTTACAATGAGTGTTCACAATAACCTGTTAAAATTAAAATTAAGCACTTAGGAATAACAACCAACATTAAACAAAACAAATTTATAATATAGAAATAGTACCTATTAGGTACATTATTAGGTATATTATAATAACTATAACAATTACAATTATTATTATTATAATGGAATACATATAAGTATTAACATGTTTTGTAATTTTTTTTTTTTAATTACATTCAAAATTTAAAATAAAAATAAATAAAAGATAATTTATTGTGAATGATTAATATTGGTACTTTTTATTCATTTTTTTTAACAACATTGAAAAAGAGTATAAAGTCAGGATATTACATATCTATTTTTTGTTTATGTTTTTGTTAATTCTTACAAAAGATATTATTACTTATTAGTAATCATTTAGGGTTAGGTGATTTAATTTTTTATAATAACGGTCAATATTAGTATTATAATATATTTAATATTTATAGTAATAAGACATTAATTTATATCCTGGTGTTATTATTTCACTAAATCCTGCAATATTTTGCTTCAACAAAATTAATAATAATAATCAAAGACAAACTTTGTTATCTATTCTTTGAGCAAAAATTACCAGAAGTCTAAAATCATATTACATTATTCTGATAAAATAATTAATCGGATAGTCTAAACACGTATGTAAAACATATGCAGTCACACATAATTATATATTATAATATTTACGTTACAAAACAAAGTTTTGTTGTACTCGGTCGTTCGGAAACGGTTTTTATTTACCCAAAAATTATATTATTAAAAACTAAAAACGAAGAAAACGTAAATAAAATAAAAGTAGATGATCAATATAAACAAGTTCAATCAATATTGAACAATTTTTTAGAACAAAATATGATTAACAAGTAGTTGATTTAAGAATATTAAAATTACATTCGTGATTATTAATAATACATTTTTCAATTTAATATTATAAACCTACGCACGTTGATACAAGAGTCAGATTCGCAATAATAACTTAGAAATAATTCGAACAGAAAATAATATGATAGATAATGCATTCAAATTTATTTATTAAATCCGATAAACATTGTTCTGACAATATAATTATACGACATAAAACTTATGAGTAGAGCTCGAATTGCAATGTATTTATATCTTCTTCATGGATTGCCTGACATGATTATTTCAAAGCTATAAATGTTTTTAATTACATACTATAATAATTCTAACGATGATTTTTTTTTAGGAATTTTTCAGCGTGTTATTGGAATTTCATATTTAATAGGTGATTTTTATCTAATTTTAGGTCTATGACAAAAGATGTATTCATAAATTGTTGTTTCAAATTGAACCATAATAATATGACGATGATGGGAGTCAATTTAAAAAAAAAAAATCAATGTGGCTCAAATAATTGTTTTTACATAACATAATAATTATATTGAATAAACCAGAAACTAAAAAAAATTCATGTGTATTTTTTAAGAGTTTTGGAGTTTCAGCTCATAAATGAATTTTTATAGCCTTTAATGTTACGGTCATTACAATCCATGCCTTACTTAAGAGACAAATAATATTGCATATTTAATGTACTTATATTAAATTAGAAATGTTTTAGATGATAGTTTTTATTTTTAAATCATATTTTATTTGCTACTTTTTGATTATTGAAACTATTGAAAATAATAATTTTAATAAAACTATTTTCAATATGCTGACAAAATATGATTAATATTATATTAATATTATATATTATACTATTATTATGGTATATTTATGAAAATATTAATAATATAATAATTAGAACTGAGCGTGTAAAATATAATAAAATCTTTAATCTGATTTTATAGAAGTCAACTTTAAACGTATTTTAGAATGTCTTCTCATTTGTCGTTATTGTTATTATAACGGTGTAATTTAGTTTAAGCATACAAACAATTCTCGCTTTTCTAGCTTTATGCAATTTAAAAATAATTTTATTTAAAGGTAAGCTTATGTATTTATTAATTTCTCGGAATACACTTTAGCAGGTAGAATAATAAATTGTTATTTTAATTAAACTTTTATAATATTTTTAGACTTTACAATACTGTTTCGAAATTTTGAAATAGATATAATCTAAAAAATTATACGGCTTTCACAATTAATTATTTTAGATTTAGTTTTTATAAGTTGTGTGTAGATATAATATACAAATATCTACGAGATATTACAACATAATATTATGGATTTTCTAAAAAAATAAAATATTAAATAAAATTTAAAATATTAATCATACCAGCTTTTGTAAGTGAAATATTATGAATTGCTTTTTCATGTACAATAAATTCATCGCATAACACAAAAAATATTGTATATAATACTATTACCTATAACTACATAAAAAAAATTTAACTAAGTACCATAATTAGTAATTACTTGTACATATAGATTACATTTTATTGTAATTTGACTGATAATAAAAGTTGATAACTTATGGCGTAATGATAACAGTTTTATTATAACAGTGTTTAAGAGCGTTTAACAAACCTAAAAAGCGTTGACTATCTTGGCTCTAGTCATTTAATTGCTCTTACTACCTATTTAAACGTATAATTTTAATGGATATTCAGTCATCAATGTACACAATAAAAGGTAAACAAGTTTTTAATGACTGGTGAAAACTTATATTTTTGTTAGTCAATTGTAAAAATATAACTCGTGATCGTTCAAGTTCGACTTATTAAATCTCGTACGTACGTAGTACACGTATATTATATTGTAATATAATATCGAGACGACTGAAATATCGATAAGTAGCTGGTATTGCAAAAGGCAAGAGTGTGTGTTGGTCAGTGACTTGTATTATTGCGTTAAGAGGACATTTTTAGGACATTATTGGTTATTTTTTAGGGCATTTAAATCCGGGCACTAGTTATAACATGTATAGTTTTAGTTATAATAATATAATAATAGTTAATGATACGATTTTATAATAATAATATTAACAATATTATTTTAGAGGAAGTGGCTGCGAGTTCACACGACTGCACATGCAATTATTAATAATTTACGATCGATGCACACCGCACAAACGGCAGTGGCGTCACTTGCCGCAGGCGTTCGTGGCGAAGCTCTTGCCGGCGCCGTCGGCCACGGGTCAAGTGCCTATCCGCATGAGTTTTTTGAACGCCTTCCGGAACTCCGGGTTGAATATCGTGTAGATCACGGGGTTGACGAAGCTGTTCATGTAGCCCAGCCACGTGGTCAGTATGAACATCCGGACGCCGGGTGAACATTCCTTGTCCAGTTTGTGGCAGATCGCGTCCAGTATGTTGCACGTGAAGAACGGCACCCAACAGAACAGGAACACACCTGAAACGCCAAGTGGTATTGTTATAAGGAATTGTTTGTAACAATAGTGTTGTGGTAGGGAGGGGGATAACGTAATTTTACGCCGAGCCGGAAGGGGGACGAGTAGAAGTATTCAACAATTTTTTCCCAAGACCAGTGAACTGCCACGATAACAAATTTAAGAACGTTTCGAATAAAAATATATAGGAAAAAGGTCATCATATTTTATAATTAAACATTTGGTGGTACCCCGGTTTCTGGTCAATGTTATGATTCCGAGGCCTAGGGTTGAAGTCAACAATGCTATATAGTATACTTTTTGTATTTACCAAGAATTTCAGTAATTTTTGCTACCAACTTTTCAATTCGACCGATTTGTTTTTATGACAAAAATATTACTAGAATGGGCATCCAAGCGAACCCATTAATTTTTTTTTATACTTTGACCTTACGTTTGACAGAGCTGAGATCAGTAACACAAATAGCGATAAGCCAAAAAGAAAAATTGTGTAGTACTTATGCACTTATCCTTTACCTGAACTCCACTATAAGTAATATTATTGTAAGCTATTCCAAATTATAATTATCTCATGGTTCTGTAATTCAGTTTATCAAAATAATAATAATTATTAATTATTATTACTTTTAAAACAAGCACAGTAAATATTAACTTTGCTAGAAGTGAAAATTAAAATATTCCATGCGGGCTATAATTATTATTTTTGAATAACTGCTAAGCTAATATATACAAATTAATAATAATTTTAACTAATTAAAAGACTTATTTTTTATTGATATTTAAGTTTTCAGCTCTAGAATAACTTAGTAATTTATTGCACATAAAATACCATTAATGCTCTGCATAACTAAGAATATTATACCTTCAAATTTTTAATATATAGATTAACATTTAACGTCTACAAAGAAGACGGTCCACGGTAACTTAATTTTTACAACTATTCAGGACCTCGATTAAAATTTTTCGTTCACTGGTATGTCTAATAGGTTTTAGTACATTAAAATATTTCTCTTGATTTACTGATTAATCTCCTTGTAAGAATTGAGTTTCTGCCGGTTTCTTCAGTTAAAAACAAAAGAAATAAACATCATCAGATAATTACTAAAACATAAAAAAATGCAAAATATGTTTTAAAAAAATGGAGTTACGTCCTTCTATATTAAATATGTAATTCTATTTTTTTAGTTATAAAATCCAAAAGTGATATTAAGGTTAAAATACATTTTTTTTCGGATTTGAAGTGTATGTGAGTGTTATTTACATTTCAGAAAAATACAAGTAGTACCTATATTATAGTCTATGAAAGTGTAGCTCTTAGAAAAGTATACTTAATTCGGTATTTTATTGAAATGATTGTTAAATAGAAAACAATGGAGATGAACTGAATCACTCTGTATTATAATTATAATGTACGAATTCTTGACACATTATGTTATAGATTAAGTTATTGAAAATTGTATGCATGAATATTATTTTTCCAATATTATCATTACAACCGTTATGGTTGTTATGACTATGAAATCCCCTCGCTAAAATAAACAATAATACGAATATAAAATGACATAATTGAACACTTTATTTGTTTAAAAATAATAATGTTGTGTGAATATAATATTGTTTTTAAATAGTGAGCCATGTTTATTCTATGTAGATTGCAGTGTTCTTAACGTTCAATAAAAAAAAGAACTCGTTCACGTTCACGTTCAGTCCTTAAAAAAGGACTTTAAAAATGTTTTTCTTATGAATCGTTATCCTGCAGTCAATACAAAAATTAAAAACCCATAAACATATACGACTCAACCAAAAAATAAAAATACAATTTACACTTTAGAGCATAATATTATACAATTTATAAAGTATATGAATTAATTTTTAATGTCCGACACGTTATTTAGTTACATTTTGATAAGGATTAGGGTGATAAAATTAAGCTAACACTAGGGTACTTATTATTACAAACCGGTTAGGTTTATTAAAAATTCGTGGAAATCATAATATTATTGTTGTTGTATGTCTAGTCGGGGACATTGAAATTGCACGTATTTAATTTATATATTTTGCAATCAAACAAATATTATAGGAATTATAATGGAAAAAATTAAAATATTATTATAATAATGTAATTAATTACTATATTTTATACAATAATATTTATAAAATCGTAAATAAATTTAACGTCTTAAAAGTCGATCAAATTCATTAAAAATATAAACGTCATTCACGTTCACGTTCTATTTGCAAAAAACGAGTGACGTTCACGTATCACTGTATATGAACGTGAACGCGTGAACGAGCGTTCATGAACGACGTTCTTTCCAAACACTGGTATAGATTGTATAATGTAGATAGGTATACATTATTTTGCCATTTTTGCATTTTTTAAGTGTGTTTTTCTTCACACATCGTAGATTGTGGATCGTTTTGTGGATTTTTTTTTTAAATTTATAGAATGTTATATATCAAATTGTATGTACCGAATCTACATTTAAACTTCGTAGGTATATGGTTTACGTACATAGTTTAAAAACCAAAGTTTAAATAACTTTCTCATACACACAGTTTTCAGTTTTATACTAAAATAAAGACTATCAAAAGGAAAATAATATTGTACTTATACGTGTTCAATAATTCATATAGGCATATAATTTATAGCAATACCTATATAATATTGGTTGAGACTTGAGAACGAGCTCGTCACAACTCGAAGGCTTATGAGTTTCAGACCATTTTGTTAAAGACGATAAAAGTCCGATTGGGAGGTGTGGTAGTGTGGATTACAGAAAGTACGTTTGGGATTTCGACGCCATGGAAAATTTGGAACGGAATAATACCCAACATGGACCATCATATCAGCGAAAACGCGTGCATGCGACGTCCCCGGTGACGGCTGTGTAATGAACAGTATACCTATTATTGTAGAGGAATAATATAAATTATATTATTACATTATACTCGAACCAATACAACGACAATAATAATAATAATAATGATAATATAGTTATATCCTTGCGGTTTTCATTACAGAGGCTGTTGATGACGCGTTGCTGGTTGGGCGTATATTGTACAGGACGATCACAGCATGCATGCTAACAATCATATTTTTTCTTTTAAAAACTAATTTAATCAAATACCTACTTTTTAAAATTTTAAAATATATATTTCAGGACAATTCTCAAATACTTAGATTTTTATATCATTTAAGAAGGGTCCTGACTCCTGACATTGGCGACACCCAATTCTTTTTTACAAATAAGAAACACAATTTTTTCCTATAAATATTGTAAATCAGATGACTCTTTGAAAATGTTGAATGTCGATGTATCTTAATCGAATTTCGATCGATTAGTTTTTAACTTTGGTCCGTCATATATTTGGTACCTATGGAAGTTAAAGGGACTAAAATGATTTGAAAATTATAGTAATCGATACTAATTTATCAATAATTTATAATTTGTGAATATTTTCTGAGTTAGATAAATATTAGATCCAATTTTACATAACATATTTTATATTTTTGTTAAACTAAAATACATACCATTCAAATACCATACGACTATCTGCAGGTAAATATAAAAGTAATTTAATAATATGATGGAGAGATACGAACCGATAACGATTTAAAGTAAATATTGTTGTACACACGCCTCACTTACAACTTACCATAATTTAGTAGTACCTACCTTCATATAGATATTAAAATATTAAACTTTATTGACTTTTTGACGGGTAAACATGGTAAAAAACAAAGGTTTTTTTCTTTTATTCGCATGTATATTATAGTAGATTGATATACGTTTTGTTGCTGACTTGTCTATAATATTAATTATTATAATACACACATACATAGAGTTATATGTGCATGATGTATTTTATATTACTTTATTCTCTTAAAATAATTATTATGATTATACGAACGTTGTATGCCCACGCATATAATTAAATAATATCGCTTATTTCGTATGTAAACAATGAGTAGGGGGAAAATGGTCCTCGACAAAAGCAGGTAGGTATATAGAATTATATTATATAGGTAGAGGTAGCCAGGATTCAGCAACAGCGTGTATAATATGTTTGCCGATAAATTAAAAAAGTGGTCGTATTAAAAAACTCTCATAGGTGTATTATGCACCAGCCGGAAACCAAAGTTGCCGGTAGTTTTATAATTAAAACCCTGCGTCCAGCAATAGATATTAGTACACAATAATAATATAGTGCCTGCGCCGGTTGCCATATTATTATATTAGGTGTATTATATTTCTTTTTAATACACTTAAATATTATAATAATATTATTAACATACTCAGGTAACTTTACACCCCAGTAGTTGTACGCCTGTTGACCCGAGACGACGGTAAAACAAAACATACAAGAGGGTACAAAGTTCAGCGGTGCTGATCGAATTCCATTTATTATTTATCACTTATCAGTTATTGTTATCATTCATTTCGGACATAATATCTCATGGGGAGGGTGCGACTCGTTTGCGCACATTTACCTTTTTTACGGCACGTTTGCGCACAAAATCACAACTCGTTTGCGCACACATATTTTGGGTTTAAATTATAAAGGTACAACTCATTTGCGCACATTTCACTTTGAGCAGAACAGCACATTTCTCTTCTCACTTTAATATAGGCTTAGGACCATCTGTTTTGTACAGATTAAAAATGTGCATGTCGTGTGTGTCTGTTCTGAATAAATATATAATTATACAATTAATAAGAAGTAATAGTGGTTCTATGCGTGTTTTTAATTTTTAAAATTTTATATTTTTTTATTATTAACTAACCTTACTACATCACTCAAGGAACATTTTTTATTCGTACACCTAAAATGTGTATCACTAGATTTTAAAGTTCGAAATTCTCTTTCAAAAATATCACAAATAAAATTTCGATATCCATAGTCACTAGTCAGTAGGTAGTACCGCTTTCTGGAGAACGACTGCTTAAAAATATTATGTTTAATACACGTCGATTATTTTCAATGATGATAATGATAT